TTGCTCCAGAACTTTTCTTACAAAGTTCCCAAAATGCCGTGGCTTCGAAAATCATGTGCTTAGATTCGTGTCTTTTACTTAAATGAAAACATACTTTGCACACTGCTATACAACTTTCTTTGCATATTTAATGTTCAGAAATATGTCTTGGCGTGAGTTTCGAGATGGGTCGCGCTCAGCCAGCCCATTCGTCACAGGGCTGAGCAGTTACCGGAGCCTGGTTTCCCATCTGCCCGTCACTGAACGTGCATTTCCAGAAAAATCCGGTGTCAACGTCTTGTCCCATACTCCGGTGCCAGAGGGGCTCAGGGTTCTCTTGGGCAGGACCATTCAGGCAAGTCCACAGAGCACAGTGTGGGCGTGGGCTTAAAGGGGTGAGCGAGGCGGAGAGGGGCCTCGTCTCGTGCCCGGGCACGGATGGGCAGGGCCGCCTTCGCTTGCCCAGTGCTCGCGGCAGGCCGGGGTGATAGGAGGTGCTACAGACCCGAGCGTGGGGCGCAGGCTCGGCCTTCACGTGGAGTGCTCGCCTGTTCAGGCTGCGGTGACGAAATTCCTCCGACGGCCTGGCCTGCAGACAGGAACCTGTTTCTCACAGCTCTGGAGGCTGGAGTCCAGCATCAAGACGCCGCAGCTTCCGTGTCTGCTGGGGCTTCCCGGCTGGTAGACAGGGCTTCTCCTCACATGGTGGCCGGGCGAGCTGGCTCTCTGGGGTCCCTTTCCAAGGCCCAGATCCCCTCATGAGGCCCTGGCACAGGACTGAGTCACCTCCCGAAGGCCCCATTCCAAAACACTCCTACCGAGGATTAGATTTCAACACCAGAGTATTTGGCGACACAAATTTTGAGACCACAGCCCCCAGCTCTCTGGGTTCCCAGAACCCTGCGGAGGACTGGGTAGCGCCTGCCCCCTTTTCACCATGAGGCTTCCGTGGAAACTTCTTGCCCGAGGCAGGACGCTGAGGAATGGCCAGGGTCACACTCAGACCCGGGGGTGCCCCCGCCCCCATCGCTTTCTCCACATCCCTCTCGCCTCTGTCACACGCTCACGCTGCGCCAGCAAACACCAAGCTCAAGCGCATTAACACACAACGGGGTGTCCTGCTCACACAAGCCCACCCGGTGACTATGGGCCGGATTCCCGGTGAGCGCTTTCACTCTCCCACCCCCCGATCACCTCCCCGAGTGGTGAGCCCTTCTGCCGCACAGCCTTCGTCACGTCTGCTCAGCAACCCTGCGGGTGCCCCTCAGTCAGCTTCATAGGCCACAGCAGGTCTCAAGGCTGTGCCCACTCACAGGGAGGCAGGCAAGTCCCAGCCCCCACCGAAGGTCTGGCAGAGGAAGGAGCCCTGGACCCAGGAGCACCGGTCTCCCTCCCATTCTCCGGGTGGGTGACGGCGCTGCTTCCAGGCAGGTGGTCCGCCAGTTAGACCTGGTCCATGTGTAGCCACGTGTCCCACAGAGCATCTGGACTCCTGCTTGGCGGCAGGCAGCCATCTCCTTCTGGAAAGCCCGAGGCAGCTCCTGTGTTCTTCTCCCCATCTGTGTGCCATTCGCTTTTCCTTCACTTGCACGGCTGTCCCCAGGTGATCCTACTCTCAAAGTCCCTCGAGAGACTAACCCTAACGACGTGTACCTGAATAGCACTTCCAACTTCTCAAAGGATCTTCAATCCACCCTTCAGTTCATTGGCACCACACCTTCAGAAGACAGGAATGACGTTGGCAAGATGGGGCTGGTGCCTGGCAGGGCCCTGGCCCACCAGCGGGTCACCTGAGTGCAGGGACAGCTCCTGACAGGATGACCTTACCAGCCTACATGCCCACCCCTCCTCTCTCTGCAGTCACCTTTCTCTGTGCTCACGAGGACCTACCTGCTCAGCCCGCCTTTGGGTGGCTTGGAAGTGCCTGGGATTTAAGCCCTACATGATGACTCTCAACCATGAGTGACGAGCGTTTGTACATAAACAGTCCCCCGTCCTCGTCCCCTGGGGAACAGCAAGGTGCATTCTGCTGGAGTGGGGCTCGGGGACACAGCAGGGTGGCGCCCAGTGCCCTTCTCGTTCTGTGCCCTGGAAGCTCCTCTCCCTCCCTGGCGTGGGTCCCCACTCCCCACCCTGACTTCTGAGATTACCTCCCAAGGCACGTGCCTCCCAGCCCTCATCATGAGGTGTGCCCATTAGGACAGGTGGCAGCAACCCTGGATCACAGTTGAGGAAACATATTGCCCCCAGGGCAGTGCTTGGCAGCATCTGGGGCATTTCTGGTCGGCCCCGCCGGAGCGGGGTGCCACGGCATCTTGCGGTGTAACCCAGGGCTGCTGAACACCTGGCATTGCCCAGGACGGGCCCAGAGCATGACCCAGCCCAGATATCCACAGCGCTGAGGTCCAGGGGCCTGGCCCGCTTCTGCAGAGCTCCTTTATTAATAGCTTGTTCTGGACTGAAGCCTGGGTGTGTGATTATCAGCCTGAGATTTCTACTCAAGCAAAATTAGCAGAATACCCTCCTTTCCCCATTGGATCAAGTGTGCCGTGAAATCCGGGCCTTCTTTATTCCTTCCTGTTGGCCCCTATGCCAAGCTGCCTCGCTGGGGATGTGTCTGTGCAATCGTCAAGAGGCCACGACTGTGCATAGCACAGTTCCACGGCACGCAAGCACATCACACCCAACCACAGGTGTGCAGCCGGCAGTCAGGCCTCCTGACAGAGCACCGTGTGCTGCAGAAGCACGCCCGGTTTTCGTCGACGCAGGATGGCTTGGGTGCCCCCTGCCTGTGCCCAGCCTCAGGCCCCTCCTCGCGTTGCCTCCCCTGCAACCTTAAAGTTTCAGCGTGGCCGTCACCCCCTCCGGGGAGCACTCTGACCTCTGCCTTGGAGGGGCTGGCACGCCTCACGCACAGCACTCACCAGCCTCCATTTTAGTTCCACACGCTCCGCGCGGAAAGGGTGAGGGCAGCAGCGCCTCTTCTCCTCCACATCCCAGGGCCCGGGCTAAGGTGCTCAGGAAGCATCAGCAAACGGTGCTGGGGGCTGTCAGGCCCTCTGGTTCTCAAAACCATGTCACCCACCCCGTGAGACATCAGAGACATGGTGTGCCCGCTGGCTGGAGGTCGCAGAGCACTGGGTCACTACGGCAGCCCTGCTGACTCATCACGCCCTCCCGCACTGTTCAGGTGGTGTATGCAGACATGGGCATACATATGTGCACACGTGCATGCACACACACGTGCCACAAACACACACACACACACATGCTTGAGCAAAGTCCCCTCTCAAACTATTCTCGGACCCGGTGCACAGCAGGTCTCCTCTAGTGGGGTCTGGCTTCTGATTTTCAGGGTCTCCTGGGACACACCCTCTAAAGCGGGCGTCCCCAAACTTTTTACACAGGGGGCCAGTTCACTGTCCCTCAGACCGTTGGAGGGCCGCCACATACTGTGCTCCTCTCACTGACCACCAATGAAAGAGGTGCCCCTTCCTGAAGTGCGGCGGGGGGCCGCAGTCTGGGGACACCTGCTCTAAAGCATCCACAACACCTCACTAAAGAACAGCTTGTGAGGGCTTCCCTTTTACTGCACAGAAGCAGGGGCTTCCGGAGCTGCCTCCTTTCTCTTTCAGGGAAGACACGCCCTCCACTTTCTCCAACTGGGCCAGATGCCTGCAGGCTGCAACACTCACGTCAAGCCGCTCGCAGAAGCCCTTCCTGTGTGCCCTCCTGTCGTGAGGTGAACAGGCACAGCATGGAGGTCATGGCAGCCCACACTGGGATCTGCTCCCCCTGAAGTCATGTGGGTGTTGGGGCTGGGCTTTGGCCTGATGTGGCCATGGTGCCCCTCTGCTGCCCCATCAGGCCTTTCTAGGTGACCTTGCTGCCACCTGCTGCTGATCTGGACGGCAGGGTGCTCCCCCAGGGCCAGGCTCCTTGCATGGTCTCCTGTCTCAAGAAACTCCTTTTCTGGGAGAAGGGGAGGCGTCCCTGGTCAGGAGGAAAGGAACCATGGGAAGGCTGTCCCAATCTGAGCACCTGCTCTGGGTTGGCCTGTGCTCCCCACCCCCAAATTTGTATGTTGACGTCCTGATCCCAGGACCTCCAGTGATTTTATTTGGTGACAATATAGAGAAGGTTAAATAGAGGTCGTTGAGGCGGGTCCTTATCCAACGGGACTGGTGTCTCTCTTAAGAGGTTAGGACAGCTGCAGAGACCCCCATGCAAGAATGCAGGGAGAAGACCCCTCTACATGCTAAGGAGGCCTCAGGAGGAAGCAACTCTGCTCTCACCTTGATCTCCCATGTCCAGCTCCGGAACTGAGAACACACTCGCTGATGATAAACCCCCTCTGAAGGTACCTTGTTATGGCAGCCTGAGCTGACAGCGCTCCACCAAGCTTGGGCCTCACTCAACTCCAAAGCCTGGTGAGCAGGCCAGGACCAGCCCACTCCATCCCTCCAAGTCCTTGCCAGCTTAGAGGTGTGGCCATCCTCTAGCAAGGGAGCCCCTCATTCCCCCTGAATCTGGGCTCACCCTAGGGACTTGTGAAACCAACAGAGTGCCGAAGAAATGCCACGATGGAATTTCTGAGGCTGGGTCATAGGAAGCCTCCTAGCGTCCGAGTGGGTCTCTCCAGACAATCTGGGGAAGCTCACTCTCGGGCAGCGATGCCCTGAGCCCTGCCTGAGGAGGTGCCACGTGCAGTCTGAGGGGCACTGAGGCCCCAGACAGGAGTGCTGGTGCCATCTTAGAAGTGGGTCCTGAAGTTAATGCCACATAGATCAGACAAACAGCTCTGCTGAGCCCATGCCAAATGCCACACAAATTTGTGAGCAACGTAAAAGGACTGATTGAAGCCACTAAGCTTGGTTTGTGCAAGGACAGGTGACCAAACCCTGACTTCCAAGAGGCCCCAAGCAGCCTCACGGAGACTGAAGAACTCCTGCCCCGCCTCACACCCGGCACCACCCCATCCCTCCTGCAGCCAGAGTTCACGGAGAATGAATGAACTAAGCTATTCAGACAGTCTATTCAAATAGGAAAATGTTTTTAATTGGAACGCTTTAGAAATGACACGATGCAATGTCTTCTATAGTTCCTCATTTGAACTGAAAAGTGATAGGTAACCTTCAGGGCGTTTGCCCCCAGTCACTCTCCTGACTCCTTGATGTGATAATTCCGTAAGATACAACCACTCAGGATAACGAGAATGTGCGTGACTCTGGAGGGAAAGGGACTACATCTGTCTCTGCTTGTGCCTCGGGTGGGTTTTACAATAGATGTACCACCGGCCCCGCCTCTTCACCAGGTAACAGTCCTTGCAGCGCTTCTTAAGGACACCCTTGGTTTTGAACCCCAGCGCAGGCAGCAGGCGAGGCAGGAGGCCGGGTGAGAGAAATGACCTCACTTCTGCCCCCGGTTCCCCAGCCGCGGGGGCCGCACCTCGAAGGGATCCCAACAGAAACGTGGAGAAGGCTGGAGGCTTCAGTGTGTGACGACTGAGACACAGCAGAGGGTTCACCATTTTCCTTATTAAAAGCGTTGCCATGTTGTGGCGAATCTATGGGAGAGAGAAAAAAAGCTGTTAGAGCTTCTCCTGCGTTTCCACCTGCTATTGAAGGCTTCCTTTCCCGTCTCACTGAGGCTCGGGAAGGCAGCGACTATGGGGTCGGCGCGCGTTTCCACACCAGCTGCAGCCTCGGCCACAGGTTCAACTGCCTTAATCGGCCAAGTGTGCCAGGAGAGGAGGGGGCACCGGACGGTGGCTTCGTTCGCTTTGCCGCCCGCCGCAGATGCAGGCGAGTGCGCGGAGCCCCGCGACGCCGAGCAGCGGCAGAACGGCCGGGAGGGCGCTTCCGGAGGCCGCATCCCTTTCCAACAGTCGCACCGGGTCCAGGCGGTTCCGCGGACCAGCCCCTCCTTCCCGCTGCCCCCAGTCCCAGGGGCCCTCCCTCGGGCCAGTTTCAGGACAAAACCCCGAGACCGCAGCCCCCGGCCTCCGCCGGGAAGCGCTCGGAGCCCCGGCCGCCCGCCCCTGCTTCCCCACGGCTCAGCGGCCCGCGCGGGGAGGAGCCGGGTCTGCAGCGCCGGCAGGACACCGCGGCCCCGGGGCAGGCTCTGCGCGCTGGCCGCGGGGTCCCCGCCCCCGGGGTCGCCCGACACCCCCTCCCGCCGCCCAGGTCGGACCCGGCCCCCACCCTGATCCCCCGACACCGCCAGGCCCCGGCCCACGCTTCCCTGCCCGCGGCCCACTGGTGGAGACAGGCCCACGGGGCCCAAGGTGGCCGGCCCCACCCTCTCGAACCGGGACCCCTGACCTGCGAAGACGGCGTCGGTACCGAGCCCCGCGCCCTCGGCCCGCGCCTGCGCCTGCGCACTGGGACGCGGACGCCGCTGCCAGGAAGGAAAATGGCGGCGGGAGTCACGTGGCGTGCCCACGTCCGGGGCCCGGCGCAGAGACGCAGCCGCGAGTGCGCAGGCGCGGGAGACCAGACCGCGCGCTCCCTGCGGGCCGGGGGCGCCCTCGGCAAAAAATGCGGAAAACGGGAACGGAAATGGATATTCGCAACAAAAAAGAAATGACAACCAATTAGACCTTAGAAAAAGCTGACAAGTACCAATGTCAAAACAAACTGAGCAAGAGGACATGTTTTTAAGGGACATCCCGGGAGAAAAGTAAACAGCCTCCGGGAAACGGGTGGAGACCGGCAGTGGTTCCCACGGGGTACGGCTATTTTCCCCGACCTTATGGAACACTTCAGACATACAGAAAAGGGGGAGACCTTTACGGTGAGCACCCACATACCTGCCACCTAGACACCACAGTTAGCTCGCTTCTCCCTGCCATTTCAGGGATCTACCCGCGACTCCATCCGCCTTCCTGTGCGTGTGTCCAGGTGAGGTGCGCAGGCGGCTGCGTCCAGCCCGCGCTCCGTGCAGGCCCCAACGCTGCAGGCGCATGGCAGCGCCCACTTTTCACACCTGACTCGGCGAACACCCGGCGGGCCTGTGGAGTTGATCAGCTCCAGGACAAATCTGCCCCTGACCACCACGTTTACTGGGACAGCTTTCCCAGTTTTCGGGGTTTTCTTCTGTGCATTCTTGTTTCCCATCGCCTTTCCCCCTCTTCATCTCCCCGGCCTCTCATCCATCTCTAGCGTTTTGTTCTTGGAGTCACCTGGTCCTCCAAGACCAGGTGACTGACCACAGTCAGTGCTCTGACCACAGCAAATAAAAGCTGACCACAAATATTGCTCTGACCACAGCAAATAAAAGCTGGATGCCGGAGCGTTACGCTGGGATTTGTGCCCAGGTCAGCTCTAAACAAAATGGGCCTTTTTAGACGCTGTGCTTGCATGCTGGATAAAGTGAATTGGCGTACTAGGCTCCGCTGCAGAAATCTTCCAAATATGCTCTTCCTCCGCGGCTCCCCATAAGCTCACGCAGGAATGCTTGCCTTGAATCAGGAGAATGCATTTCCAGTCTCTTCTGCTAAGCAGCCCACTCCTTCACCCAAGAAAAGTTCTTGATATTTAAACGTCCCATGATTATCGGTTACCATAGGAACATAAACATTGTATTTTCAGTTTACATCCTCCCACGCCTGTCCCTTAAATAAGAACCACTGGGCACTCCTAAGAGCTGAAGATTGCGCACACGGCGGCCTGCCGCGTCGGGTCCCTAGCTCCAGCCTGAGGCTGCAATTGCCAGAGGCCTCCGCCCCGACCGACGCGCGCTCCCCAGGGCGAAATAAGTCCCGGGCGCATGGGCGCCGACCGAAGCCGTGCGCATGCGTCGGCTGTAAGAGCGACGTTGCGCCAGGTCAAAGGTCAGCCATGAAACATGGCGGCGGCGGTGACCTTCTGCCGGCTGTTGTGCCGGTCCGGCGCGGTTGCGCGGAGCCTGCCCCTCGGCGCCAGGTGTTTCGGGGTGCAGGTCTCGCCGACCGGGGAGCAGATCACACACACTGGCCAGGTAACGGCCGCTGGGTACAAGACTCCTCTTCCTCCGGCCGCACCTCTGGTGGCTGGTGGCAGTGGGCTCGCCGGGCATTCGCGGCTCTGGTTCTGCGCCACCGGCCTCGCGGGTCGTGGTAAGGTTGTGCTTGTGTCGCTGACGCGCCGGGAAGGAGGCCTGCCGGTCGGGACGGTGGCGGCGGCCGGCGGCGGTGGGTCTCGTCCTCCCAGGGCCTGCGGGCTCTGGAACGGGAAGGCTCCCCGGCGGGCAGCCTTTGCTGTGGAGTGACTGCCCATAGGCGGTCTGTGGCCGCTGATTTTTTGGGTCAGCGTTTAGAATTTGTGTAATATTCAATGATAAATTTTAGTAATGTGAGAAATCGGTTGTAGTCCAAAGCACACAAATATTGTAAGCCAAATGAGGAACAAAGGTAAATGTGCCCTAGGAGATTTAAGGGGGATATTTAAAGCTATCTGGCCATATGCGAAGGAAGGTTGGGGCGGTTCTCGGTCAGGATTTGTCTCTCCTCCTTAGCTTCACCTTCCCGGGCTACTTCTCTATGCTGCTCTCTGATTCAGGTGCTCCTCCGTTTTCATCCCAGGTATCTTGCTAAAAATGCTCCTGATTAACTATGTACTGTGCCCCTCACTTGTTTGACTTTTCATCAATGACGTAAAAGTTAAGAAAAACACTCACCTGTAATATTTATGATTGATACGAAGTGACATTTTTCAGAATTAGGCTGTAAAAGTCACACATGATCTTTTTGGTTTTTTTTTCCAGGTTTATGATGAAAAAGACTACAGGAGAATTCGGTTTGTAGGTCGTCAGAAAGAGGTGAGTAAAGGTTACAATGAAGAGAGGTAAGCTTTCATAAAACTTTTATGTAACCAACAAGAAATGAAAATTAATATATAAGATTTAAATAAATTCTCCCCCTCTTGCAAGGACCCTAGCAGTTCTGGATGGGATTCTACTTTCTAGTATGAATTGTGTCTATTTGTGTCTTGTTTCCCCCTGAAATACATTACATAACATTTCAACCGCAGTTCTGGTTTATATATAAGTGGAAGTGATCTTTTTATTAAATCCTCATGCCTTATTCTGAGACTCTCAGGTTAAAGTAAATCTTACCAACTTTAAAAAATTACTCTTTTAACAACCTGGCGGTGTGTTTTTCATAGTTTTCACCAAATAAATTAGTATGTGTTTTTACAGGAACTTACAGTGATAAGCTGAAAATCCACGAGTTTTTCTTCACTTAGTGGGTCTATTAGCTCTATACATTGTGAAGGAAGATCAGTTCAGGTCATCTCTGAGTGACCACTGGAGAAAGAATGTTGAAATTAGAATCCTTCTACCTGAATCAGCCTTTTTTTTTTTAAACCTGACTCCCAATTGCTCATGTCTGTGAGCTCCTGAATTCTTAATTAGCTCAGGCATGCTTCCATGTTTCCTGAATTTTTTTTTCCATTCTTTTTCCCACTTTGGTTAGCCTGGTTATTCTTCTTAACACCTTAACGATCCTTGAATCATATGTTTTCCCTGCTCCCTTAATCTTGGTTAAGTTATCCTTTCCAGTGTGTAGTTTTTCTACTTCTGTTCTGGAGCTCCAGGGCATTCTGGAGAAGCTCACATGATCATGAATTGACTATAAATTCACATTTTCAAGATTCGTCTGGTTCACTGTCGTATGATTTGATGAGTGGGTGTCAGAGAAGTTTGTATTATGGTGGTTGATTATTTGACAATGCTCTTGAATGCTGGGTTGAGAAAGATCTTGAGGCTTGATCCACATTCATTGAAAGAGTATGTCATGATTGATTAGTGATGTCTGCCAGGATCCTGGTGGTGGAGAGGGGTCGTGTCCAGTGGGTTTGCCTGTCGGAGTAGAAGCCGTGTGGACTTGCAGTCTAACAGTTGTGAGGGAGAATCACAGCATAGGTTCAGTTTTCTCATTTGTAAAATGGAAACCCTGTGAATGTTTCTAGTAGAATCATAAGTCTCCAGTGAGATCACATGTAAATTGTCTAGTACGTGGTAACATATGGTGAGTCCTGCTCCTCTCCATCCTCAGAAAGCCTTGTTTTGTTTATTTGAATTGTTAGTGTATTCTCAGTAGAAGCATCTGTTCCGTATGCTGCCTTCTCCAGTGCTGTAGCCCAGTGATGGACACAGAGGAGCTCATGGCATTGGGAATGGGACATTTCTTCTGTATGCAGGCTATCTTGGTCATCCTTGTTAGGTACATGAACTTGACATTTGGAAGGTGGAAACCGATGGATGTTGAGAGGATTCACAGGCCCTTTGGTTTCTTTTGGCAGTGATCATGGAGAAGGGGAGGTTTCTCCCAGTGTAAAGTGGTGCCCATTCGCAGATTTCCTGGGCGTCGATGGGTCGTGTTTACTGAGGCAGTGGCTGGACCCTACATCCCTGCTTTGTGGGTGTCATGGCAGGGTCGTGGGGATGAGACAGGAGCCCCAGATAGAGCATTTCCAGAGCAGATTGGTCCTGAAACCACTGGGCTCATTCCTGCAATCTGGCCCCCAGCCCAGCTCCCTAACTCAGTTCTTGCTGTGATGTAGCAAATATGTGGGTCCCGGTCACAAACACCTGTCCGCTGAGCGTTCTTTGTGTAGCTTCTGATTTCTGGTTGGCATAGCACAGGGTAGCATGGAAGCAACTTAAAAGAAACCAAACAGAATCAGGATTGGTGAAGCCAGTTAGGGTGGGTGCAGGAGAGTGTGGTAGTCGTGCCTATGATGGCAGCTTACCCAGGCTGTCCTGGCTGTGACCTCAGTGCTCCAGCAGGCCCAGCCTCTCCAGTGCTTTCCCCCCATTCAGCATCCCAAGTGTCCAGGGCATGCCTTGGCATCACACCTTGGAGGTTCGAGGCGTGTTTATAACATGATGAGTGGGCTTCCCACCAAGCTCTCCTTTCAGCACAAATTTGTGTTTAGCACTATTTATAATAGTTTTTTGGCTTCTGAGAGACTTAATTTTTTGGACCACTTTTAGATTTACAGAAAAACTGAAGAAAGTAGTTTTCACAGCACCGCCCCCCTCAGTTTCTGCTGTTCACTGCCATCTCTCATTTGTGTACTGCTTGTGTCACAGCTGATCAGCTGATACTGATACATTATGATTAACTCAAACCCACAGGTTCATTCCCGATGTTGTATATTCTAGAGTTTGGGCAGATGTGTAATGATGTGTCTACCATGACAGTATTGTACAGAGTTCACTGCCCTAAAAATTCTCTGTGCTCTAACTGTTCATCCCTCTTTCTTCCGAACCCCTGACAGTCCCCGATCTGACTGTCCCTCTAGTTTTGTCAGGCAATACTTTAAAAAATAAACTGGGCCAGGCACAATAGGCTCATGCCTGTCCTCCTAGCACTTTGGGAGGCCAAGGTGGGGTGATTGCTTGAGCCCAGGTGTTCAAGACCAGCCTGAGCAACATGGTGAAACCCCGTGTCTACAGCAAATATAAAAATGAGCCCAGCATGCTGGCACATGCCTGTAGTCTGAGCTACGTGGGAGGCTGAGGTGGAAGGATCATTGAGTCTGCGAGGTTAGGACTGCAGGGAGCCGAGATCATGCCACTGTACCCCAGCCTGGGCAGCAGAGCCATGCCCTATCTCAAAAAAAAAAAAAAAAAGAAAGAAGAAAACAAACTGAATCTAAACTTCACCTGTAGAACAAGGATAGCAGGAAGCTGGATAATTGAATTGGTCTTTGCAGGAAAAAGTGGAAAGTATCTCTGTGTGGCTCCTGCCCAGTTTTGACTGGGGGTGCCTGCAAAGGAAGCCGTGGCCCCCGGGCCTGGCTGGAGAATGTGCCACCCACCCCCAACCCTGAAGGAAGGGACCAGAAGTCAGGCCTCACACGGTCCTGGAGTGGGTAGCACCCTGGGTCACATGAGTGAGGTGGAGGGCTGGAATGGACTTGCAGGTCACCAGGTATTTCTCCACTGTTGATGGAAATATTGTCATTGCTTTATAGTCACACATGTAAAATTAAAGCAGGTATGACCTGTCCTGTAATAGAAGAGGTGATTGGGTGAGGTCTACAGTGAGGTGTAGTAGTGATAATGCAGTATAGCAGCCTTGTAGCCAGGTACTTGACAACGTCATCTGCTTATTTGGTCAGAAGCTGGGGCTGCCCTGCCTGGCCGCATCTGGATTCAGGCTCCTGCGCTGATGGGTTTATGAGGGCTGTGTGTTTCAGTGACTCATCTTGTTGGCACATGGGTATTGAGTCCCTGTATGAGGGACTAAATGGAATTAAATACTGAATTTAAGGAATTAAATACTGAATTAAGTGTTAGTGTCCATACACAAGGTTTTTCCTTTTGTTTCTTGTAAGGGAATTAGGCAGCAAACCCAGAACATCAGGAGGCCGGGATCCCTTGGGTGCAGCTCTGTGCAGCCCTCTCCCTCCGTGTGTCAGGTTACAGAACAGCTGGGCTTTAGCCTGTGCCTTTGTCTGCCCGCCAGTGGGATAGATTCTCTCTCCAGGTGCTCAGCAGTGCGGAGTCACTCCCCACCTGCACAGCCCACAGCTGGGCGTTCAGGGCAGAGCAAGATTCTGGACGTTTTCTTAGATACCTGGCTGTCAGGGTTGAGTCCAGCCCGGCTCCCTGTTCCTCAGAGATCTCACCTGCCTGGCTCTCTGTTCCTTGGTAGCAGGCTCTGAGGTGCAGGGCGCCTCCAGCGCCTCCAGGTTTGGGAGCAGCTGCCCACGGTGCTGATGTCTACTTGGCATGCTGTTTTGTTGTGATGATGTGAAGTTTTATCCTTCTGAGAAGAGTGCGTGCAGATTTCGTCAGTGGAAATATTTGAGTAGCGCTCGAGAGAGAGGAAAACTACCAAGTGGTTTTCAGTGACTCCAGATCCTCAAAACAGAACAGAAGCATGGGTGACGACCTGAAGAAACTGGGACTTTGTGCCTTGCTGCTGGGAATGTAAAATGTCGCAGCCACTAAGGACAGCAGCCTGCGGGCTCCTCAGGCAGTTGAACCTAGGTCTGCCGTCCAGTGCAGCGGGTCCACTTCTGAGTGTGTGCCCGAAAGAATTGAAAGCAGGGTCTGGGGTCCACTCATGTTCATCCCAGCATTGTTCACTATAACTAAAATCTGGAAGCAGCCCGGGGATCCGCTGTCAGCTGAATGGATAAGCAGAATGTGATCTGTCCATAGACAGTGGAATATTGTTCCGCCTTAAGCAGGAAGAACATTGGACACACGCCGCAACATGGATGAACCTGGAGGACGTTGCGCTCAGTGAAATGAGCCAGTCACGGAAGCGTCCCGCGTGAATCTCATGTGAGGGACCCGAAGAGTCGGCTCTTAGAGGTAACTAGCTGGCGGCTGCCAGGGGTGCGGTGAATTTGGAGGTAGTATTGAATGGAAACAGGGTTTCAGTTTAGGAGGTGGAAGGTTCTGGAGATGTGTGGTGGTGATGGCTGCTCGGTAACGTGATACACACAGTGCCCTTAGAAATGCTAAAGGTGGCACGTTTATGTTACGTGTATTTACTGCAGTTTAAAAAAAACTTGAGGGGCAAGTGGCTTTAGGCCCATGCAGGGAATCAACCAGAGGCTCTTCTGTGGCTTTCGTGGCTGGCATCGCTCATTCTTGTTTCTCCCAGGAGGCTGGCAGGCAGGGTGCCCTCAGGTGGGGAAGCGAGTGAGCCTGAGGCTGGGCCCACGCGGCACCTCTGGAGGCTCTGCACACCCGCGGTGGTGACTCGTGTTATCACCCAGGACTACAGCATGCCTCAGATCAGCAGTGAAGACTTGTGACATCTTTCCCCTACATTGAGCAGTCTCTTGACG